CCTTTCCTTCGCCATGTACATTAATAATAGGTTCACTCTAGTCCCTGAATCCCTTGGAATCATTTCCCCTGTAATATCTAGCTCCTAATACTGGCCACTCACAGAAATTCGAGATCCTCTTCACCCAAAGGTGAAGCATACCCCAATTTACCAGTTTTACCTGAAACCACTGCTCCTGTAAACCATACAGCTCTTGTGAGCACTTACAATAAAACAAAAGAAAGTTTATTTAAGAAATAATGAAGATTTAACTAGACACAAGAAAGAGTGGTGGAAACAAGTGGTTCCAATACACAACAAAATCGTAAAACATGAACCTGAGCCTACACTTATCAATAATTATGTTTCCTAGCTAATGAAGTAGACTGTCCCCCAAAGTTCAGTCTGTTGCAGAGGTGACTATTTTTCAAGAGCCAGGATCCAAATATTTGTGAAAGCACGCCGGGGGGTTTTCTCAGTGAATGGATCCAGAGTGCCTTTCCTTACATTCTGTTATATTGAAAATAGCCCTTTGTTTCTATTCACAGGCAGTACAAACCCCTGTGTTCTTATAGAGCTTCTCTTCTACCTTTAAGTGGTTTCAATTGTCCTTGTCTCTGATGGCTTTCCATTGACTGTTCTGGAATGTGTCAAGGGAGACAATTGACTTTTGCATTACCTCACCAACTGACTAATGAGGGGTGTCAACTCCCTTTTGCTTAAATAGTTAATCATCAAGTAAAGTTACATCCTGGTGACTAATTTCTATTCCAAGTCTATAAAGCATACTTTAATACGTTATTCTGTAGATATTGTCCATGTTTACAGCTCACAATGATTATGAGTCTTGACAAAGTTATGAGCTTTCTTAGATACATTACATGTTACTCTTATGGATAAATATCCTGTAAGACATGTTTGATGTAGTGAGTTTGTCAAGTCTGAGGAGAGAGCTGTTTGCAAAGAATGGGGGCGCACTGCCAATGGATGTCTGTATCACAGCTTCTCATGTTCTATTTTGAGGCAACCCCAGCAGTAGCTGGTGAAAGTTTATGGGATGTTTAGAGCTGATCAAAAACAAGAAGAAAGATTTAAAAATGTTCATCAACAATTGTTTCTCATTTTTCATATAAATATTGCTATGGAAATTTTCAGTCAGCTCTGGGAATCATTTTCTTTTCTTTATTTTTCCTATCATCTCGCTTTTGAGCTAGGATGTAAGTGCCAACTATTTTCACCTGACATACAAAGAATTTTAAAATATCTTATCTCTGGAGACCTGAACGAGTGTGTCCAGAAAAAGACACCTAAACATTTCTAGCAATTGACACCAGGCTAGCTGTCATCAGAAGACTGATAGCATTTAAAAGATACACATCACTACTTTCAATACAACTGAAAGCCTGTGCATAAGTACCTTGTAGGTTTGTATAATTGATGTACTGTCATCAGAGGCATAATTTGTCTAAATGCACTTTAACTTTGGAGACCACATTTAAGTGCAAGAAAATACTTCAATATATGGTACATTTTAATGGAACGATTATATAAAGAAACATACCTAAGAGCACGTATTTAAACAGTGCTCCGTATTTTTGTTGCTGTACCTCTGAGGTGATACTTGTGAACAGAATTAGTTTCTGTCTAAACGAATGACTTTAAAAAGACTGCAATCCAAACCCTGTTTAAATTAGATTTTCTTGTTTTTGTTTTCTCTGGTGGAGAAAACTTTCTACTAAATAAGAATTTACATCAGGTATTGAAAGGTGGTTCTCCAAGTGAACTGGGAATTGCTCAGAAAGAGTTACACTGTGTTCTGGATGAAGAAAATTAATTAAATTAGAGTTGCAATTTGTCAGTAACTGGGTAGTGGAATCATGGATTTGAAAAGTTAGGAATGTAAATGAAATTAGGAATTTTTGAACCTGTAGAGAAAACCTGTTATTAACTAATGTAGTTCTGCTGTGAATGTACTACCCTCTAACGTTTATTAAATTATTAGAAAAATATATCTCCTAATTATGCAACTAGTAAAGTTTCTGATGTTTAATACTGAACATATTTTATTACATAACATATTTTCTGTTTGTGAAGAACCATCAATTTGCAGGCCCCTACAGCTCATTGAGATCGGGGTGTGTTAAAACAGGTTTTCAGTAAATATATGGGTGAGGGAGCAGGGCAGTTAATGGATTGAAGCTGTTTCACAAAAAGAGGGTACATTTATGAACATCTTCTGTGGCCCCCAACTGTGCTTAATAAAAACAAAAGAGGGGTGTTTTCATTTACTGTAGGCTCAAGAGCAAAATGGCATGCACTGGCATGCTGCGTAGAGATTAAAGTAAGAGCAAATGGGAAAATAGTTCTGCAAAACTGCTTTTTAAAAAGTGCATCTAAACTAAATATTTTTGTTCAATTCTGCTGACTGCTTATTCAGAAGTCATACTTGGGTTAGGCAGCTTCTGTGCACCATTTCTCTTAATTTTTCTGTCTGTATTCTTAACCTAACTAGGATAAGATAATTTATTGTAAATGCTATTTTAATATAGGGTCTCACCTGAATGCTAAATTATGAGGGGTAAGATCTGCTGATATCTACAAGGAAAAAAGAGAAGAATCTATTCAATTCCATATACCTTATGTTCAACGTCAGCTGAATTTCCAGAGTTAACAAGCTAGTATTGTCCACAAAATCATCTAGCTTCATGATATTCCTTTATTGTGTAATTGGATTTTAAGACTATGCATGTAAACATTTACAGAAATGATTGCAGGTTCTTCTCTATTGACTATATTGTAATTTCAGTAAACACTCTGCTGTAGGGGAGAAATCGTTGTTCCGTTGAAGTCACCGGCAAAACTCCCATTGATTTCAATAGGATAAGGATTTCATCCTAGCTCAGAGGTCCTCAACGCAGTGGTTTCTGAGCTGAATTGAAGCTATCTCAGAATTTTATGAAGAGCTCTTTTAAGGTCTACATGTCTGGTGAGCTTCACTCATGAGAGTGAACTAAGTGCTGGCAGGTACATGTATGTGTATCACAGGTAGAACTGGTAGGTGGCCCCTGCAGGCAAAAGTGGGACAGAGAAAGAGGAGACCACCATTTCTTTTCTTCTCAATAGCCACAAAATAAGTGAAAGAGAATGAGTGTATGGTCCTGTGTGGACGCAAAGTCACAACACACACACAACACAATGCAAATATCAAACATTGTGATGCTTTTATTTTGTGGATTTCTGGGAGTCTCTCAAATGCAAAAAGTCTATCCAGCTGGTAGAGGCTGAATCCAGCTGTTGTAGGTGACAGCATGGTTCAGTGAATGGGGGGCTGAACTAAGAGTCTAGAGACCTGGGGTCTATTTCTAAATCTGCCACGACCTGCTGCATGACTGCAGGCAACTCACTGTACCTCTCTGGATCTTAGGTCCCTATAGTCTTTGTATCGTGATTTGTGATCTAGAATAAATAGTCCTGTATAACATATAATTATTATTACTTATTTTATTATTTCTTACAGATAGATTGTGTTACCTTACAAAACAATTTTAAAAAATTGCCAGATCTCTCCATGTCATTGGCTGGTTTTAATATTTTCACATATTCATTTCAAATGGCATTGGGCAAAATGTCTGCTTCCTTCCACCCAGAACAGTAGATATTTATGCAGCAGGGGAGACATACTAATAATTTAAAATATATGAAGAAGTAAACACCAAGCATCAGGATGAATTATTCAGTAAATGGACAAAATCAGAAAAAAAAAATGCATGTAGGCTGAATTGTAAGGAAGTTTTATTTCACAGTTTACTGGACTTCACTATAAGACTCTCTTGAGGAAGAGGTGGAAGAATCATCCCAGGAGATCTTCATTAAAAAAAGTATTAGATGAAGTACTAGAAAATATACTGTAGGATGAAATTTTGCACTGGAAGGATTAGCGAGCAAGATGGCCTAGTAGATATTTTCCAACTCTAATTTGCATCCCAATTCTTCTGCTTTTACTGGTGGTGAGTACCACTCTTGCTAGTCTCCTTGAAGCCACTGAGAAGCCTTGCATGAGTAAATTACTCATTTTAAGTAATGATGACAGATTCAGGCCCTTTATCATTATAATACTTGGGTTGGTCTGGTTTGGTGGTTGAGGTTCTATTTTATACAACCTCACAAAAACATAAGAATGACCATACTGGGTCAGACCAATGGTCCATTTACCCCAGTATCCTGTCTTCTGACAGTAGCCAGGGCCAGATGCTTCAAAGGGAATGAAAAGAGTCGGGCCACTATCAAGTGATCCATCCTCTGTCCTCCAGACTCAGCATCTGACAATCAGAGGATCTAAATGTCTAGTGTACTTACAATGCTTCTCCATTCTCTGTTTCTTGATGATCATAAAGTTCAGTCATTATCCAGTAATAGGTGCAAGTAGAGGAACTAAGTGTAGTGGGGGGTCTGTGTCACTGGAAGATTTTGAGTGGATGTATTGATCTGCAGATCTAGGCCCTGTGTTTTGACAAGACCCGCAGAATGCAGAATTTTTATTGTAGACAAATGTATTATTTATTTGCCCAGCTCGAGGTCTTTGGGAATATGTACAAATCTTTAAATGCACAATAGTAAAGGCCAATCAATATGGCCACAAAATGTAGGTATTCCCTGATGTAACTGAAACATCATGCTATAGCCTCCCACATTAAATCCCTTCCCGAGTTTAATGCATCTAGCTCCTCACACACACACCCTTCCCATTTCTTTAGTGCATGTGAAAATTAGGCCACGTTTTTTTTTCAAGGAAGAGAACTATTATAATCACTAGAAGACAGGCTTTGGATGACAATTTATGGAGCTTCATATGATAGCATCAGCTCCCCAGATCTGGTGGAACAATAGACCAAAAAGTGTAACCCAATGTGATACAGTGTAAGCACAACTGATGAGTATTTTAATGTGGCGTAGCACAGAAATTGTATCCTTCCTGGGATATTTATATCTGTAGTTTAAAACCTGTGGTTTGACTGTTCTAGATGACAACAAATTTTCAGAGGCCATCACAGTGCTGCTTACCTGGATTGAGCGAGGTGAGGTGAATCGTCGCTCTGCAAATCAATTCTATTCAATGGTGCAGTCAGCAAATAGTCATGTTCGCCGACTTATGAATGAGAAAGCCACTCATGAGCAAGAAATGGAACAAGCCAAGGAGAGTTTTAAAAATGCCTTAACAGGGATCCTCACTCAATGTAAGTAACTATTTTTTGTCCAGTGTTGTTGTTGTGATTGTGGTAGTGGTGGTGTGTTTTGTGTGTTCGGGGGTAAGTAGTTATGATAAAGTCACATTCTACTTCATATCCTATTTCATACGCTATAGCAATTTGGAGGAACAAGGACCATTCCTAAGAGCTTATTTCTCAAGGTGAGCAAAGTTTCAGAAGTTTTTCCATTAATAGATTGAGACATACTGTAGGATCCATAATGTTTCAGGAAACTGACCAGACAAAAGTATCCCTAATTTGGAACAGAGCAAGATCATGCTTTACCTGGAGTGCAATGATCTCTTATCTGTGAGTTGTAGAGATAAGGAATTCTAGTTATCTTTGATACCTACAGAATAGAGAACAATCAGAGTATACTTTTAGATTGAGGTTAGGTAAAAAGAAGTTATAGAAACCTTTCAGGGGGTTTATAAATAGTGTGTCAAGGCCACCCCCACAGTAAAGGAACTCTCTGCACCGCTCCGTTGATATTCTGCCAGCATTTATTTGGCAGGTAAAGTGTCTAAAATATTTAGTGCTGGTGATTTTTCCCTGTACAGAAATATAATCAATCAACTCACCTTAATGGGGTTCCCTCATAAAACAATAATCAGGATAATTGCCTAGGGCCCTTTAAAACAATTGTACTTCATTTATGCAGGATTTTAATATGTATAATGCGTCCCCATAATCTTTGTTTTTGATTCATTCCATCTGTACCCAATCCACATGGAAAAAGGCTAGATTCCAATTACCCAAAGTTCCTCAAATAATGGATCTAATTATAGTCACAAAGATGCATCCTGCTTAAGCGTACAAGACAAAAAAAATTAAGAAATTTTTTCAGTCTGAGACCAATATGCTTGTTGCACTTTTGTGTCTTAATTATGTCTTTGGTATTTACATATACATTAACTATATGTATCATAAACACTGTGGGATCATGCTAAAAGATGGAGTTATTATCTGAGGACATGTGTGCAGTGGGTGAGTTTTCAAGATCAGTTAATACCCATGGTAGTTTGGATAGGCAGATCATGTTACATCTCAGTGACTGAGAAATAATATGTGAGGAAAAGGAAAGTGGGCACCGCCATGGCCATGTTGTTCTGGTCACACCAGGTTTCCAAAACTTACATGTACAACAGCTGGTTATAGTATTTAAAAATGTCTTCTTCAGCAGGGTTAAAAATCACCTATTGCCAGCAGTCTGCACCTTAGTTAATTCCATCTAAATAATCCTGTTCATCACCAACTATTGTGGAACATCTGTCACTGGTGACAGATTGAGAGCCTTGTAGTTGCAGGCTATGTCTACACTACAAACTTTGGTCGATGAAAATTACGTCGGCATAAAGCCCCCGCAATTAGTATATCACTTGTGTGCATACATATTTGGCTCCTTGTGTTGGCAGTGCATGTACTCACCAGCAGCGCTTATATCAATGCACAGTGCAGTGCACCATAGCTAGGTATCCCAGTGTGCAAAGGGAAGTTTTGGCTATGCATTGTGGCGCAGAAACGGGTCGTGAGAGCAAGGAGTCAACTTCCCAATGTGCAACTCTCTCCATCCCAAAATATCATCTATATCCCATAATTTCTTTGCCTCTTTTCAAAATCCCCAAAACCCATGCAGCCCTCCTTGCTGTCCACCATCTCTGACAGAAGCATGGAGCCTGCACAGCTCTGCACTATTGTTGTGAGCGTTGCAAGCACAGAACACACAGTCCTCTGGTAGTTGGAGGACAGATTGCTGAGGGACATAACAAGAACCAGCTCAAGGTTGGTGGTGGTGGAGCAGCTGCAGCTGGGGAAGGGTCACTTATGGTCCCAAGAAATGAGCACTGACTGGTGGGATCACGTCATAATGCAGGCTTGAGATGATGAGCAGTGGCTGCAGAACTTTCAGATGCACAAGGACACATTCCTGGATATGTGTGCCGAGCTTGCCCCAACCCTCTAGCTCAGGGACAACAAAATGAGAGCTTCACTGGCAGTGGAGAAGTGAGTCATGATTGCACTGTGGAAACTTGCAAAGCCAGATTGCTGCCAGTCAGCGGGGAATCATTTAGGAAAATTCACTGTGGCAGCTGTCATCAAGTGTGCAGGGCCATTAATTGCCTCTTGTTATGCAGGAATGTGACTCTCAGCAACGTGCAGGACATAGTGGCTGGATTTGCAGCAGCATGATTCCTGAACTGCATTGGAGCAATAGTTGCCTTGCCTATCCCTATTTTGGTAGACCACCATGCCACAGCGTGACATCAACAGAAAGGGCTAATTTTGTATGGTTATGCAAACATTGGTGGATCACTGGGGAAGCATCACTGTGGGCTGGTCAGGGAAGGTGCATAACACAGTGCTGTTCAGAAAGCTACAATCAGGGACTTTCTTTGCTGACTGGTGGATTACCACTGATGATGTTGAAACACCAATAGTGATCCTGGGGGACCCAGCCTACCCCCAGTTCCCGTGAAGCTATATACTGGCCACCTCGGCAGCACCAAGTAGAGATTCAACTAGCAGCTCAGCAGGTACAGAATGACAGTTGAATGTGCTTTTGGTAGATTGAAGGGACATTGACGTTATTTACTCACGAGATTGGATCTCAGTGAGAAAAATATCCCACTGTTATAGCTGTCTGCTGTGTCCTGCATAATATCTGCGAACCAAAGAGAGAAAACATTTCCACTGGGGTCGAGTGCAGAGGTGGAGCAGCTGTCTGCTGAGTTGGAACAGCCAGATACAAGTGCTATTAAAAGAGTTTAACGCAGAGCTATATGGCTCAGGGAGACTTTGAAGGAGCAGTTTAACAGTGAGCCACAGTAATGCATTGTGGTGTACTGTGCTCTACCTGGCTCTGCTATTTTTGGCCAGTTAGGAACTGTGTGGTGCTTGGTGTACATCTATGAATGTAACACCGTCAATGCACCTATTCATTTTGTTTGTTACGGATCCTATGAGTTGTGTCACACAGTACAGTAACCAGTAAGTGGGTGCTCTCAGAACCGCTAGGCATTCTACAGCATATGTTGTGAACTAATAAAGATGAATTATGTTCCAAACAATAGAATTTTATTTGTAACAAAATCAGTGAAAAGAAAAATCCATACAATTTTAAAGTAAATACACTGAAAACTTAATAAATTAATAGAACAGAACTTTACACGGGGAAAGAGCATTCATGTACATTTTAGCGACATACACCAACTGTGGCTTTCACAGGTCCGTGTAGGTGAAGCTTTGGTGGTCTTTAATCTCCCCGCAGGTGGAGCAGTAGTGGTAGTGCAGCAGCCCCGGATGACACGACGAATGTCTGGGGGGAGGTGTAGGGAAGTGCTGCACTCGAGTTCTCCATGGACTGCAGAGGGTGGCAAGCCCAGGACTGTTGAATCTGTAGGTCCACAAGAGTCTGCAGCATCTGTGTTTGCTGCCTGAGAAGCCTCATTACGTCCTGGTGCATCTCCCTCTCCTTTTCCTGCTAGGACTCCTGGGCCTTTCTCCTCTTCACTCTTTCCTTCTCTAGGCTGTTTGCAATGTTCACCTTCCAGGCCCTGGGTTCAGGGTCTGATGCTGCGCTGGCTTGCAGGATTTCATTGAACATGTCAACCCGAGTCCTCTTCTTTCTCCTCCCTGTCCAGCTCAGGCGTTCTAGATGTGTGGAGGGTGAACCCCTCAAGGTCGCAATGGCAGCAACTGCAGATAAAACACACAGAGGTACCATTGTCGGTATAGTCACAACAGAAAGCAAAAGATTCAGAACTCCCCTTCCCTTCCTCCCCTAATGTTTTCAACAACACATTCTCAGTGACTCTTTTGCTTGGGATTACTGGTGCACGGCACCACTCACAGCACCAGCCACAGTGAGTATGGCTCCTGAGGGTAACACAGAGAGCGCACAGCTGCTGCTGGCATCCCAAAGCCACCCAGGCCTATATGCTGCTATCCTGTGTACTGCAATGGTGCCTGCCGAAGTGATCACTGACTGGCATGGGAAAGTGCCCTACCGTGGAGGAAGAAATAAGACTTCTGTCCCTAGAAAGCTTTGGGAGAAGATTGCAGAGTGCCTCCATGAAAGTTTCATCGAGATTTCTCAGGAGCAATGAAAAGCAGATAGCAACTCTACCTCTCTTCATTGTATCTTACCACTTCTAGTACAAATAAATCAATAAAAAGTCGTTAGCTGCACCCTGTTAAGTTAGGGGTGTCATCACTGTAGTGAGAAATACATAACTTGCCCTCTTCTAGAAGTGAGAGGAACTGTAGTCTGTTGTCAGGGGAATGTTTGACCTGAAAGGCCGCCAGCCTAGAAGTAGTTGTTGAAGTCAGACATGGCTAGCAGAGCCTGGTGATTGGTGATGCGTAATTGTAATCCCACAGAGAAGACCTTTCTCCCCAGGAGGTCCAGTCTCTTGGAACTCTAATCTGATGGGCTAGTCCTTAGGTACTGTGACCTATTTCGTACCACCACAGAGTTTGGAGCAAGGTGGGAGAACAGAAATTTGGCTCCCTTTGCTGGGATGAAATAGCCGCTCTTGGCTCTCCTAGGTATGGGGGCACAGAATGCTGGGATGTGCCAGACCAATCTCACTGGTTCCAATAAAATCTTGTTAACTGGGAGGGCCACCTTACTATATGCTATTGCAGAATCAACCTTACACTGGGGTGATTTTCCTAGGCCCATATACACAGGTTTTGTGGGCACAGCACACTACTGAGGTGATGTAAAATGGCCACATCAAGCCTGAGGATCTAGCCCCATGAGCACTGTATTTATTTGTCTAGGACAAAATATGAATTTACATACATGTTAATTCCATGGTTACTTTTAATTCTTTGAAAGAGAATTAAAAATAAAGTTTTTTTTTATCCACTACTATGAAGCCACATATTTAAAAAAAGAAATGTGCTCCCAGATGCCATACACATTTTCAGTCACTGATCAAGAGCACTAGAGAAGGCTGGGAACTGGAATAAAAATGGCAAAC